AAAAAAAAAAAATCTTAGAATCAGTGATAAATGTGACCGGCCACAGTGGCTCATGCCTGTTATCCCAGCACAGGCCAAAGTGGGATGACTGCTTGAGCTGAGGAGTTCTAAGCCAGCCTGGACAACATACCAAGACTGCATCTCTATTTTTTTTTTCACAGCTCTATTTAAAGAAAAAAATTAAGGCCAGGCGTGGTGGCTCAAGCCTGTAATTCCAGCACTTCGGGAGGCCAAGGCAAGAGGATTGCCTGAGCTCAGGGGTTCAAGACCAGCCTGGCAACTTGGTGAGACCTCATCTCTACAATAAATCAGAAAATTAGCCAGGAGTGGTAGTGCATGCTTGTAGTTCCAACTACCTGGAAGCCTGAGTTAAAAGGATCGCCTGAGCCATGCAGGTTGAGGCTGCAGTGGCCGTGAGTGTGCCCCTGTACTCCAGCCTGAGTGACAGGGACTCTGACTCAAAAAAAAAACAAAAACAAAAACAAAAAAACCAAGGCTGGGCACAGTGGTTCAAGCCTGTAGTTCCAGCACTTTGGGAGGCAGAGGCGAGAGGATTGCCTGGGTCCAGGGGTTCAAGACCAGCCTGGGCAACTTGGTGAAATGTTGTCTCTACAATAAATCAAAAAATTAGCTGGGCATGGAGGCGCACGTCTGTAGTTCCAGCTACTTGGAAGGCTGAGGCAGAAAGATCACCTGAGCCTGGCAGGCTGAGGCTGTGATGCCGTGAGCATGCCACTGCACTCCAGCCTGGGCAGCGGAGTGAGACTCCAACTTAAAAAAAAAAACTAGCCACGCATGGTGGCATGCACCTATAGTCCCAGCCACTTATGTAGTAAGCCATAATCATCCTACTGCACAGCAACCAAAAAAAAAAAAATCAGTAATAAACAATAGGGACTGCACAAATTATCTCCACCTTTCAGGCTTCCTGAGTAGAGTCTCATGTTGGTTATATCCAGTGAGAAACCTGCCTGTTTCATTTGGCTCTGTGTAGCTATCTAGCAAACACGAGGTGTGTTTCCCTCCCATGGCCTTTGGCCCAAGTGCTCCATGCCTTTGTGATCTCTAGTCATGAGGGAGGGGAGCTGCACCTGGGCTCACATGGCATGAAGTTCCCATCAAGCACAAAGGAATGCAGAAGCTCCCCACCACTCCCAGGAGAGCGCCTGGAATCACTCCCGCTGCCTCTTCCAGCCACTGTGTCTCCAGGACCCTTTCTCCAGCCTGCTCCGTTTTCCACACTGTTCTGTACATATTTGCATGATGAAAGATTTGAGTTCTGGAAAGCCCTCTGCTGCCATAGCAACCATGAAGGCCACAGAGGAAGGCCCGTCTGCATGCTCACACAAGCATCAGAGGCTGACTGGGAACTTACGGGCTCCCATCTTGTGAGCTCACACCCAGCCACAGACAGGTGTCCAGGAATAATTTTCACCTGTTCTCCCCCGGGAAAAAAGAAGAGTCCTCCATCCTCCAAAAGAGAAGGCCACTCCAGGCGTGATGGCTCACGCCTGTAATCCCACACTTTGGGAAGCTGAGGCGAGAGGATTACCTGAGTCCAGGGGTTTGAGACCACCCAGGGCAACTTGGTGAGATCTCATCTCTACAATAAATCAAAAAATTAGCCGGGTGTGGTGGCACACGCCTGTAGTTCCAGCTACTGGGAAGGCTAAGGGGGAAGGATCGCCTGAGCCCGGCAGGCCAAGGCTGTGGTGGCCAGGAGCGAACACTGCACTCCAGCCTGGGCAGCAGAGTGAGACTCCGACTCAAAAAGAGAGAGAGAGAGAAGGCCCCAAGGACCAAAGGCCACAGCCAGGTCAGAAATGTACCCGGAGGGCTAGAGGGGCAAGGACCTGTCCAACAGCATGGCCTTCCACCTTCCCTCCTCCAGGGAGAGGGCGCAGCCAGACATGGCTTTCCTTCCCGTCACCCTCTCCTGCCTCGCCACCACAAGGGCACCCCAGCTGGGCCCCAGGCTACCGATCTGGCGTTTCCAAGCAGAAGTTAGAGAAAGGGAAAGACCAGTCGTGGGGCTCACTCAGGCACCTCCTAAAATCCAGATTGCCACGCCCCATCCTAGACCTGTGGAATCCACCCCAAGAGACAGACTCCAAACCAGGGACAATCCTTCTCTGGGGATGAACTTACCCCTCTAGACCCTCAAATCTGGCAATATCTCAAAGCAAGAGCTTGCATGGTAAGTAAGAGTGAGAACACAGAACAAACCACCTCAAAAAACCCCAGCATCAGGTAATTTCCACAGTTACACTATTATACTAAATTTTTCTGCCGGGCTCAGTGGCTCAGCCTGTAATCCCGCGCCTTTGGGAGGCTGAGGTGAGTGGATTGCCTGAGCCCACGAGTTTGAGACCCGCCTGGGCAGCGAGACCTCATCTCTACAATAAATCAAAAAATCAGCCGGGCGTGGTAGCACATCCCTGTAATTCCGGCTACTTGGAAGGCTGAGGTGGAAGGATCGCCGGAGCCCAGCAGGTCGAGGCTGCGGTGGCCAGGAGCGGCCACTGGACTCCAGTCTGGGTGACTGAGTGAGACTCCAACTCAAAAAAAAAAAAAAAAAAATTTTTTTTTTTCTTTAAACCACCTAGAAATTACAAGAATTTTTTTGGAGTCAGAGTCTTACTCCGTTGCCCAGGTTAGAGTGCAGAGGCATGATCACACCTCACTACAGCCTCTACTGGGGTTCAGGTGATCCTCCCACCTCAGCCTTCTGATTAGCTGGGACTACAGGTGCCACCACCAAGCCCAACTAATTTTTTTCTTTGGTAGAGACATATCTCCTTATGCTGCCCAGGCTCGTCTTGAACTACTGGACACAGACTGGACACAATGGCACACGCCTATAATCCCGCACTTTGGAAGGCCGAGGTGAGAGGATTGCCTGAGCCCACAGGTTTGAGACCAGACTGGACGACTTGGCAAGACCTCATCTCTACAATAAATCAAAAAATTAGCCGGGCATGGTGGCACATTCCTGTAGTTCCAGCTACTTGGCAGGATGAGACGGAAGGATCACCTGAGCCCAGCAGGTTGAGGCTGCAGTGGCCATGAGCATGCCACTGCCTTCCAGCCTGGGTGACAGAGTGAGACTCCAACTCAAAAAAAAAAAAAAAAAGTACAGGCCGGGCTCAGTGGCTCAAGCCTGTCATCCCAGCACTTTAGGAGGCGGAGGCAAGAGGACTACCTGAGCCTATGGGTTTGAGACCAGCCTGCGCAAATAGTGAGCTCTCATCTCTACAATAAATGAAAAAATTAGCCAGGCATGGTAGCACGTGCCTGTAGTTCCAGCTACTTGGAAGGCTGAAGCAGAAGGATCCCCGGAGCCCAGCAGGTCAATGCTGGGGTGGCCATGAGTGTGCCACTGCACTCCAGCTTGGGCAACAGAGTGAGGCTCCAACTCAAAAAAAAAAGTGGGAGGGTACACGCGCCAGGAATGAGGCTCCAGTTCTCTCCATCCAGGCTCAGCACATTCCACAAGATTATTCTTTCCACATGCTGGGTCCCAAATAAAAGAGAAGTGTCGTCTCAGGCCCAATCCCTAGTGCTGTTGAGGGACCACACCCCACAGGCCAGGGTGGGCGCTGGCAGGCAGCCAGTTGAGATGAGAGAAGCACCTGCCCTCGCCCTGGAACACGGGCTGCTGGAGACACCTCTGGTAAGTCCGGGCACCCTGCACCCAGAAAGGTGTGTGCTCTGGAGAGGTGACAGCAGACCAGGGACATCCACCAGGATGAGGGGCGGGCCTCCAGGCTTCTCATCCCGTGAAATAAAAACAAGGCCCAGACAAGCCCGCCTCCACACACCCCAAATAAGCTCGTACTCACTTCTCTCTGTCTCAGACGATGTGTTCTCAGCCACGGGGGAAACTGAGGCAGACTTGTCCTCCATCTTACAAAACCAAGGTAAGAGCGCAAAAGGTCAGAGGGCAAGCAACCCATGGGAGAGCCTGAGCCGAGCCTGGAACTGCCCTTCCCTCCGCCCAGGAAAGGCAGCCCGACTTCCCAGAGACCCTGCCCAGCCCTAACTTCTGGGGTCTCTTGAAATTCAGGTGAGGTACAGGCCCCGGACCAGCTCACCCAGTGGCCCAGGCATACTGGAATCATCTGGCTATAATGACAACTTCAAAGTGATTTAAAGAGTTTTCGGGCCGGCGCGGTGGCTCAGCCTGTAATCCTAGCGCTTTGGGAGGCGGAGGTGAGTGAATTGCCTGGGCAACTTGGAGAGACCTCATCTCTACAATAAATCAAAAAAATTAGCCGGGTGTGGTAGCGCACACCTGTAGTTCCAGCTACTTGGAAGGGTTGAGGCAGAATGATCAC